CATTTTGAAAGACCACTATCTTAGTTTTTTTAACATTAATTTGCAAGTCCATACTAATTGAGAATCTCAACAAATTGTCAATTACCAATTGTAATACAACAAGACCTTAATGTATGTATTATTTCCTATCCATAAGCCATTAAATTTTGAATTTCATTCAACCTTGTTACCAGACTATCAATATATCTATACTAATATTATAAAGAGGTAATGTTTGTAAGTATGTATGTAAGTTTATATGCAGCAGGTAATCTCCGAAACTACTCATCCGATTTCAAAAATTTTTTTACCAATATTTAGAATGGAACTTCAGGGTGGACATAGCCTGTATATTATTCCGTTAAACATGGGAGATGGACAGTTCTTTACGGCAAGCCTTCCCCGTAAGGCTTACCGTAAAGAAATCTGCTTCTATTTATACTATTTTAGATGCGGTTTTTTGCATTTTTGATTGCATTTTAATAGAGTACGTCAACAGAATGTACACTAAGAAGGGATTTTTCGATATCCCCCCCGCAGGGGAGAGGTACAGGATTAAGGCTTACTGTGAAGAACTTGGCTTCTATTATACTATTTTAGATGCGGGTTTTTGCGTTTTTGATTGCGTTTTAATAGGGTACGTCAACAGNAAAATTTTTTCACCAATATTTAGAATGGAACTTCAGGGTGGACATAGCCTGTATATTATTCCGTTAAACATGGGAGATGGACAGTTCTTTACGGCAAGCCTTCCCCGTAAGGCTTACCGTAAAGAAATCTGCTTCTATTTATACTATTTTAGATGCGGTTTTTTGCATTTTTGATTGCATTTTAATAGAGTACGTCAACAGAATGTACACTAAGAAGGGATTTTTCGATATCCCCCCCGCAGGGGAGAGGTACAGGATTAAGGCTTACTGTGAAGAACTTGGCTTCTATTATACTATTTTAGATGCGGGTTTTTGCGTTTTTGATTGCGTTTTAATAGGGTACGTCAACAGGAATGTACACTAAGAAGGGATTTTTCGATATTCCCCCACGGGGGAAGTGTTATACATTTATGATAGATACATTTTGAGCCACAACAAGGCGTGGCGGGGTCTGCTAGTAAAGAAATAAAGAAAATAGTAATGGACTCAATGACACTCTTGCTGAACTTCTTTGTTACAGTAGAAGGATTCCTAAGAAGTTCCATTAACAAATATAAATGCTGATGTATTTGTGTATATCAATCTTTTAATAGATTTACTATCTTATAACTTAACCTCAAATGATTCACTGAATTAAATGCAACTCTATAATCCACAAGGCAAATATATATTTTCCTTCGTTTTTTGCCAACCTTTCTTTTAACATGTTCCACAGAACAAATATATGGTCCTCTGTAGATTACCCTTTACAGAAACCTGCTTGCATCTTACAAGATTGCTCACACTCTGCCCAAAATAACAGCCTTTCACAGAGAATCATAGAGATCTTACTGACAGTGTTTAACAATGCTATTCCTCTATAATTACTTTTATTGTGTACATCTGATGTAAAAATAGGGAATATTTGTGCTATTTTCCAACTATCCAGATAAATTCCAGTTACCAAAACTATTTAAAATGTTCAGCAATTTCTGCCGCAGTTGCTCATCTGCCAACTTCCAATATTTTATCAGAATATCTAAATATCTTACAGATACCATCTTACCATCTCCAGACAAACAATTTCTTTGTCTAGATTACCACTAAACAATAAGCTTTTAAAATGCATAAACAAATCTGTTTTAATCTCCTCTGCAATACAGTATCTATTTCTACCTTCCAGTTTACTAATACACTCTCAGAACATTTGGCTTGACTTGCAGTTTGAAAGCAGTTGATTAAAACTAGTCAAATATTCCTGTTTTTTACTTTTACAAAGTACTCTAAAATTTTGCTTCAATAACAAATATTCTTTTAATCTCATTCCTCTCCAAGGCTCCTCCATCTCTTCAGCTTATTTTTCAAAGTACTCTATTGTTCCATATACTCCTCATCAAACCATTCTGGGTTATGCCTGGAGAGACATTTGATTCTTATTTCTCTGAATCTAAATTTCTTCACTATACCTGACACCACATCAGTAAGTATGTTTAAGTCACTTATCTTATCATCAAATTGATTGTCTCAACAAATACGTTATATTTCACTTACAAACAACTTCCATTCCATCTTATATCAAACTGGACTGATTACCCAAAATAACCCTTTTTCAGACCTTTAATAGAAATTTCTAAATGCAGCATCATATGACTAGATTCAGTGCAATCATCTAGACCAGAGATGGACAACCCAGATGTAAAATATGAATAAATATATCAATTTTCCAGCTTAAGGAAGAATGCAGCAAAAATTCAAATATTATTTTCTACAGCTTATGTATGCAAGTAGTTTTTCCACAATGAATTTAGTAAAAATTAAAACAAAAAACCGGGTAACAGACACATCAAAACTAATTTAAAACTGGTAGTGACTAATATTTAACCAATATTTCCAATATATTACATTTACATCAGTTCCAGAAGCTAAATTAAGTATACCTATGCTAATTTATAATTATATATAAATAAATAATTGTGATTTACCGACATTTTCCCCCTATTTTCTCTTACATGCAGTCCGCGTTAGTTCAAAAGTTTTGAAATGCGGCCCTTACATAGATAAAGGTTGCCCATCCCCAATCTAGACTAAAATACTTTAAATTATCAGATGCCAAAGCATTTATACATGAGTAATCACTAATTACACTTTTGTCCAAGTGCGAGATGAAAGTGTACTTTTCTTGTGCATTTTTCTTAACTCTGCCATTTATAATCATCAAGCCTTTGGTTTGACATAATTTCACTAACTTCAATCCAATCTTATTAATACATTTGTCTTCCAAATTCTGGTAAACACCTATAATCCAACAAGGGGAAGATACCATCTCCACAATCCATTTCATTTGGGGGTTCCAATTCTACTATTATATTTATTGGGTGATTTATCTCCTCATTTTGAAAAGAATCAAACAATGACTCAAGTAACTTATAACATTTAACATAAGCTTCTATTTTAATATAGATACAAAAATAAACTTTTTGTTTTTCCAATGTACAGTACTTCGAATGACCAATCCTCAAAGGGACGAATCAACACATCTTTTAGTTCTCTATCTATCATCAACAGCATCCCATCTCTTTTTTGCCCTTCTCAAATATATACTAATAGTGCTAATCTTGTAAAAATCATATGCACTACTTACATCTGTCGGTGGCTTCCTTGAATCCAGTTCACCTAACCACGTTTCCATCCAACATAACGTATGGAACTTTCTCACAATATTTCAATACTCCATTTCATATTCCTGCTTCCATCTGTTTATGTTCTAACTAATAACTCTTAGTTTATCATGCTTGTCCCTAAAAAAGAATTCCTATTAACACAACCATCCTCAGCTTTATCCTTGCCAGCCTTATGATAGTTTTCACTTATCACCAGTTTATCACCTTTGAAGTATGCAATTTTCCCCTATTTTCTTGTCTGTCTTAAATTATTTCTCTTCTCCCTACATTCCGCAGAGAGATCCTCCCTTATGTGCACTGCCTGTCTCCAATCCAAGACATCAAGTTTATTACAATTGCTCTTCCAACTTTTCAATATTTCTCTTTTCACTTCAAAAGAAATGCAAGTAATAGCAGAAATAATACAATGGTTTTTATGTTTTTATAAGTTAAACACAATCAAGAATGACATTCGATAAACCAGACACGTCCCTTATTAGCTTACACTGTATCTAACAAATTTTCTTGTTCATTTGTCTCCACATTAAATAATAAATATCTCTTCCTTAAATTATTTTCAAGTGTATTAATTAACTCTTTTAATTAAACCACTAATAACCTGCATATTGTTACACTCAATTTCACATTTGTGATCAGACTCTAGTTGAATACATTGGCAGAGAGAATTAATAATCTTTTCATTCACTTCCAAGAAAGAAACTTTCACTAATTGCAATTCTGTCTCTATAGCTTCCTTCATTTTGCTCAACATACCTTTCATCTCTTCTAAAAATAATTCCTGACCTAAATTCTTCCAAATGTCTCTGGATTTAACAGCACCTCCAGTGGAACAGAATCGCAAACGTTTACCTGGTGGTGTTCTTGATAGCATAACATTTTTCTTGAAAACTGCTTCTTTTTCTTTTGCATTATTCTGAGCTTCATACTCTTAGTTTAACAAACCTATCCATAATAAAAAGCCAACTTCCAAGACTTAATTACAGTAATTGCATCTCTGCGACAATATATGCCAACCATAAAGAACTTTAGGTTTAAATATTGTATCTATTCATTGGATTTACTTTAAAATACTTACTGACAGGGAAATTAATTAACTTCATACATTCCTAACCTAATCTAAATGAGATGCTACTTCTATGACTATTTACTTATTGATTTTATAAACCCTTGTTTGTAAAACGATAGGTAAATGATCATAGAAGTAGTGTATTGTTTATAAGATTAGAACTGTCGAGGGATTACTAGAAAAATACAACAGAAATTGTGGGAAAACTAATTCTGGGAGTGCACATATAACAAAATGTAGACTCAAAAGCTAGTATTTTGTAAGCTTCTAGGTAATTAAAGTAGAAACTTCAATTGAAAAAGAAGCCACGAAGAATCAATGTTACTACGGCACACTCTAAAAATTCTTCAGAATGTCCACATAACATTAGTATCATTCTACAAAATGTCGGCATCTATTTTCTCTCAATTTATGCACAACAGAATTTCAAACTTTTCTAATTTTGTCGAGTGCCCACCAGCAGTCGAGTGGATAAAACCATCGAATGCCAGTAGTTGGCGGCGAGTTCTCAATGGGCCAGCCATGCTAAGTTTTCTGGGTTTGTTTCGCAATTGTAATGCCTAAATAGAGGCCAGTTTCTCACAGAAAGCCCTATCTTTGACAGATACATATAAACCAAATCTAATTTTGTCATTTTTTTGGCAGGTAGTGGGATGCAAAGTGGACATGGAGCACCTAAGAGAGATACCAACAGATGAGGGAAAGGCATTCGCCGACTTCTATGGGGTGAAGTTCATTGAGACGTCGGCCAAGACAGGTTACAATGTGGAGGAGGCCTTTGCCATGATCGCCCAAGAAATTTATAGCAAAATAGAAACTGGAGAATTTAAAGTGGAGGACGGCTGGGATGGAATTAAGACTGGATTTGCGCGTCCGAGAAGCAATGTTCACCTGATGGAGGCAGAACCTGAAGGAGGAGGCTGTTGCTAAAATTTTATAATTACAATAGGGAATAAATTAACTAATATTAAGAACCGTGAACAAATTGTAATATATATAAATATATATATTAGCTAGGCTTTGACATTGACAGATAAATTAGTTAGATTTTATAAAATATTTATTTTAATTTATTTAATAACGACTTGTTTCTCCTTTATATTTGTAGTGTTTCACCCATTTAATTATGAGAAATTTGAAAAAGTTTTGAATTCTTTGGTATGAGACAAGTTCAGGAATTGATGGAAAGATTTTTGTATTAGGTTTCTTTATTTTTCCATTGGATTTTGTGAGGTGAGAATTTGGTTAATTTTGTTGTATTTTATTTTGGTCATAGAATGTCGTCTTCTTTTTATGTTTGCATTTGACAAGTTCATCGACATTTCTGCCATTTAATTTAGTTTTTCATCTATCTTAACTGTGTTCTGGATGGTGATTTATGCAAGCATTCTTATAGTTTCCATGCTTGTTCCACGAGAAATTCTTTGACGATCGTTGCCGTTAACTTTTTTATCGGCAGTTTTATTATTAATGATACAAAAATTGTACATTTTGTATTTCCCGAAACATCATCTATACTATATATTTAGAAATTTCTATGAATCTCTGAGTATAATTTATCTTCTGCATTTTTTCTTTTTTGGAACATATTTTGTCTTTTAATATTTCTTTCGTCTTTTACAGATCATGCAGAGAAATTCTCGTCGAAATTTTGGGCATGTCAAGTCCAAAATTACCGACAAATTTTAATATACAAAATGGAAATGATGGAGTTTGCTACTCGAATTTGACAGTTATTTTTTGAGATTTAACTCTAATTATTTTATGATTTCAAAGACAGAGAGAATGCTAACGTCCACGTAATTAGAATTCCATGTGTTTGGTTTGTTTAGGAGAATTCCAAGTAGGTCTGTCCATTGCTAGAAAGAACTGAGTAAGTGTAAGATTTAATTTGTTTGTCTTAAATCTTAATTTAAAGATCTGAAGCGATTGGTTTCAAATTAATGATTATGCAGTTATACACGGCAAGATGAACAAATTATTTGGCGATATACGTAAGGAATTCAAAAGAATAATCATTTGTGGACGATCATTCGTTTGAATTTTTCAAACAGAAATAGAGAATTTCCTTTTCCTCCAAAAATCGGCATACATTTATGACCAATTTTGGAGAGAACATGAATATTTGTATGTTCAGATATAGTTAATTCCCTTTTGTATTCTGTCGTTTAACATGTACCGATCCTCCTGTGCAGATAAACAAAGTAGCGTTGATATCCATTCACATCTACATTCACAAACGTTGCACCAAAATCACATTTTACTTATTGGTATTCTTGTTACGTATGGTCATCAAATCTCTGTTTAGTTCTTTACAAGACCATTTTTGAATTAAAAATAATTATTGGTGTTAAATCTGTAATCATGGCACCCATTCGTATGCAATTTTTGTCCATCTTGTAAACATAATTGCAGATACTTTCATCCACCGTGCTTCGGTAGTAGTGAGGACACCTACAGTTTGACCGAAATGCTAGTCTATCGTGCCTCCAATTCTTGTTTTACTTCATAAATAATTTCATGTCACCCAAGAATGTATCCACCACTGTAACAGAATAAAGATAAACAATAACAGGAATACAAAGCTGTAATTTTGACATTGAATATAAATTACATACCTGTTAATTTGCTTTTCCTGCAACAATTGTTACGCTACTAGAAACTTTCTAGTCACTGCAAGTAACGCAATGATCAAGTTCTAGAATTTGCAATTCCACATCTTAGTAGCGTAGCATAGCATAGCATGACTCAAATTTACAAATGTAGTTGCATTACAATCAGTTTATCGTTTGTAGCCACATTTATTCTTCATGACGATTTGCATTACGAGACAATCCGTTCCTTAAATTAATTATTGGCCGCCCGCGAAACACTTTTCTTATTGTTCCTCTGTGTCTCTGTGATTTGCACCTCAATAATTTGTCGCAATACTAAGTAAATTATTTTGGCAAAGGGACCAAGTCACCTTATTAATTGTTTACAAATTTGTTTCTTGTATGCGACAGCAGTTTTCAGTAGAATTATCATTAATAAGTGAGCCCGCATCATTAGTTCATCTTGCTGTGTATGCTTTGACAGCTTTTTTCATTTTCAAAATTAATTTTCCAGAAAGCATCACCACTAAATGACGCAATTGTGATAACAGCAAAAAAATTACACTTTTTGTTTTTACTTTGTAAAATAAAACAGAACATCAAAACTTCATTGCTCAAAATTTTGTCACTTTAAAGAATTTGTATTCAAAGTCTTTTGTAATCTGAGAGTCTTTGACAGAATTTCCATTTTGAAACACTGCGGAGGGGATTTGTTTTGTAAATTTTCGATCGGCACAAACCGACGAAGATTCCTATTTAAGTGATGCCAGAGACATTAAAGCATCGAGTGCCATAATTCTATTCTTTAATACCGCAGTGCTCTGTTTTCCATTGTTACTTTGGAATGTTTGGCGAATTTAAGCATGCAGAGACGTCCTCGCGCACATTATTTATCCCGGTGCCACGGGGTTCTACTTTACTCCACCTCGTTCATCACAGAAAAAGCAATTTATCTTCACTTACTTCAAGGATAACACATCTAGCCAAGCCACATTCCTCTCTCGACTCTCGCATCCTATATTAGACATTTGAAGAGCTGCTATTTATTATAAATATATTTATTTATTTTTTTGTTTAAAAATAATAAGCCAAATTTTAAGAATTAATCCAAATAACCACAGCTTTACTCGATAGAATTGGTCTGTTGTTATATTTTAATAGTTTAAGTATTATTTATTTGTATTTATAGATGGATTGAAAGAATTTTTCGTTTGAATCGTTCTTTCCGAACTTCTGTATATTTATGTAAAGAGATATAACATCTATTTTTGATTATTTTCGAATTTTTCCCATATATTTGTATACATAAGAACCGTGTGTACGGATATGCATCATATAAATGAATAAAATAAAAGATATATATTATATATTTATGCCGACATACGTCGTCCAAAATGAATTTTGTATTGAGAACCAAAACGAGAAGATTTTGCTTTCTCCGAATAAACTCTTGATTTATCATGCTATATTGTTGTCCATGATGGAGCAGATTCTGCATTTCCGCAGTTCTTCAAAAAATTATGCTGACGACACATTACAATATTTAATCCGTCATCTCTCTCCCAATCAGTTTTTATTCTCAAATTATTACCATTTTATTTAATTTTTTTTTTTTGCCAGTTCTGCACAAGATATTATAAGATGGCTTCGGTTTCAACAAATTCTGAAAACTTTCTGGCTGGCATCTCCATTATCTGTCACAATGACACTTTTGACATCAGTTTATCGAATATGAGGCAGTCTTAATGCATGGGCCCCATACTAATTTGTATATGTTGATTCTTCAATGCACCTCATATTGTATACATGTGCAAAAGGTAATTCACTAATTGCTAATTTAAGTTATTTTTTGCTTAAGTGCTTAAGTCCCAGTGCACACAGGCTGTTACGCAACATTTACACGTTAAGGCGAAGGGTGTTGGGGTGACATATGGTGCATTGTGCCTCGGTTCAATTTCCTTATTTTGGTATTTCTGATTGGATTCGAGGTGATTAAAAAAAACAGGTGGGTGTATAAATATACTTGAATATATATTGAGGGATTTGTGAACATTTGGCCATTTTAGCGATAATTACTTAGCAAATTGTGTTTGTATCATGAATGATACAAGTTGGAGAGCAGTCTAATTTGTACGGCTTAACAAATATTGGTGTGTTTTTTGAGTCTCATGTATTGTTCAAATGTTTATCATATCAATTAGTTACTGTTGCATGGCATGTTTTTTATTCACTTTTGCACCTGTTTGTTTTCCCTCTATTGTTTTACGCGTTTGTGCAAGTATATGACAAGTAACCAGAAAGACATTGCAAAGCCCAGACACGTGCCCGAATTGCCGACAATTCAGGACCCCTCTAATATGCACTGTGCCTTTATTGCCTCGAGCGGCTTCCACTCTCCCTGTACTAATGGAGAACGTCCTGCGAGTATTCTTTCGTCAGTTGGTTGTACACTCTGCAAATCCTCAAATGTTGCAAAAACTCTCGTTCACACCCAAGTACAGTGGGTGATCGGTCAAAGAACAGTTTGGATAGCGAACAAATCAGATAGCAAATACTTGCGCGAAAGATTTTTATGACCGGACAACAAACAATTTACTGAACAAACATAAAAAGAAGCGACAGAAAATAACGAATACCGACTGATTTTCCCTTGTCGTCGGGTAACAATTCGAAACCTTTCAGAGCGTGGGAGACGTCAGCATTGACGCTCAACACGATACCAATCAGATAGTATTCCTCCGAATTTTGAAACCCTCCCTTGTAATTCCAGCTTTTTGTTTACCTTTCTGAAAAATAATTTTTTATGGTCTTTGCGAGACTATTGGACGGACACTTGTTAAGTTTTGTGTCCGGATTTATTTACGAAAGGTGAAAGTTTAACTGTCCCATCGGATGTTCGTTAAGGTTTTAATTTTCCAACCAAATTTAATAACCAAATTTCGAACTTCATCCGGGCATTGCATTTAAATAATTTTTTTGTGAGCTAGTTGATTTCTGTTCTCTGAATTTTTGTAAGTGCTTTTCTGAACTATTTATTTACATAATAAACTGATAATATTATGGAGCCTAAAAAGAGGAGTGTCAAGAACTGTGCTCACCACAGAAACCAAGTAAGAGATAATAGCCAAGGTAAAAGTGGGCACCAAGATGTCTGATGTTGCTAGGGAGTAGGCTTGAACAGGTCTACAGTCTTAGCTATGAAAGATATATCAAGAAGTCTCAAGCTGCTAATAGAGTAATGAAAATCACATCTGAGAAATAAAGAGCATTTTAGAGCTCAGGATGGAACCTGAAACTGATCTGACAACAGAAGAACTCCAAGAACTCTGAAATGAAAAATATTAAGAAACTCAGCGAGATGTGTTTTCTTTTGAAAAGGAGGAAGACAAAAGAGGACCAGTGTCGACATCTGCTACTGAAGATCTTTTGAAGAAGTGCGAGGATGTCAGAACAACGATCATCCAAGTGGCATCCAAACCAGAATAAGGTTTATGGGGTATGAGATCTCTACAAAATTACAATACTATTAATTACTTCCGAAAAATCCTGAAGAAAAGAGAAAAGCAATTGACATTGGACAGATTCTTTAACCCCCATAAATGGAACTGCATATACAGTAGAGTGTCGATTATCCGAATCAATTGGGGACTCGGGTTGTTCGGAAGATCGGTGTTTCGGATAACCGATTATGTACGAAAAAATATAATTTATCCCATCTTGACATTTTTCTCCGTTGCGTGTCGCTTCGAATTTTCGTCGATGTTAAGCCTAACAAAGACTATTGTATCGTTAAAAATTATTTTATTTTGTACGAACAAAATATATTGAAAAATATAAAAACAATAAAAAATTATACTTCAGAAGTTAATTTAGTATCAAAAACGTAAAATA